TTTATAATTTCTCTTTTCTTTCCCACTACGTTCATTCACTTTTACCCTTTGACAGTAGCTCCTCTCAAGTGTGTGAGCAAGTCGAATCTACAACAGCAAATTCTGGGTGTGGTTTGGTGTCCTATAGACTGCAGAAAACAGAAAGTTCTCGCATATCTTCTGTTAATTGCGAGAATCTTTTCATTGTTTAAAATCATCACAATATATGAATTATGTTCACTTCTTTGTCCTATCCTGCATTTGTAAGTTTTTACCATTGTCGCGAATCATATACGCAGAATCGGATGACAGCATGGTTTAACACCTTCGAACTTTCTTGAGGTCATTTGTCTCTCGCATCATTTCACAATTCATAAGCATCGGAAAAATTATTACGGATTTCAATTCTCCAAGAAGCTCCGCTGAAAATATTTCATCAGAAGCATAAAATGAAAGTCGTTCTCTACTTACAAGATATTAGTTAGAGTGCTAAAGGAGTTTTTGGATTAACAGGGTAGTATATTCTTTCCTCGAACGCTAAACATGTTCACGCACCTAGCGGGAACACACCTTTCCAAAGGCGAGGCCATGCATCAAACGCATCTTCTCCCAAATTTTCACATGAGCAGAAGCGGCTCAGATGTCCGGTTCGTGTCGCAGAGTTCTTAAAACAGCACACACCGCACCCTCACACCCGCCGCTTGTGAACGTAGCCGCATTTGAGACCGGCAGTGCTTGCACGCCATACCAGCAAACATCTCGTTGACTCGGCCGTAGACGAGCAGGAACAGGACACAATACTGAGCAAACATGTGGTCATTATCTGGAATCGGAACGGCGACACGCATTGAATTCACCGATTTGAAGCTTCCGCTAGGTGAAATGACTAACGGTTAAAATGGCGTAACAACTCCAGAATTAGTACGCAATCTTTTCACTAATTTAACATAAAGTTCTACGTTTTGTTTTAAAAAATGCTAGATTGTTGGATATACTCGAGCTGTGCGGAAAATCGCTTAACTTTGCCGAAAATCCTTACTAATTAAAGTGATGTCGTTATAAATTAGACTTATACCATGTTATATCCTTCAAAGGGATCATCCCAAAATTGTCTTCCGCATCTGCTGTGCGCTCAATGGATATAGTTTTAACGACTTTTTTTGCGCCGTTTGTAAGCTTGATACCGAATAAGCAATGATGAAGATAATTTTTGGTTGAAATAACTAAACTTTTTGATCGCAGATGAGATTTGCGTTGATGTTTTAATTTGAAATCATAATCATGTCTATAAAGCAAAAAACAGCATATTCACGCTTTTTCTGGCAGAGAAAATGCTGTCACGGCTATGTTAAAGAGGTGCATAGCATATTTGAAATTCAGTTCAAAAATATCATTTTACAGCTCATATGAAGTCTATATCCTTGTCTAAATCTTGAGATGGATGCTCTCCGATAAAATGTATTCGTCCGTCACAGAGCGCGCCGATAGATTCGATCTAATCCAGATATCAAGTCCCTGGCACAACGATTTTTAAAATGTTCACCACTTCTTTATCTGTTGCATGTTTCCGTTAAAGTTCACTCTGAAAATGTTGGCCTTTCGCGCTTTCCAGAGAACTGCACAAGCTCTTGGCTAAGGCTGTGAACTTCAATTCTGAAGCAACCTTTGTTCTTATTGAGAATAGAAGGGAATTTTAAGCTGTACTGCGCAATAATAAGGACGATGGAAGTGGACTAAATCTACAAATATAATCATCCAAGAAAAGTTAAGATGACTAAGTAATTTTATAAAATGAAACACCCTTAGAATAGGTGACTGTTTATCACAAAGTCCCAAGGTTATCTGAACATAATGCATCTTATAAATTCCGACTTCCTTTAAACCACAGAACTCCCGCTTCCTTGACACGATACATTTGTAGTCTTCATGGTTTCGATAATGTAATTGAAGTTTAGACAGAATTTAGGAAATTCAGTTCATCGAAAATAGAATAGATCTTACTGGGAATGTTGTTTATCATCACACTATGCTTTTTCATCTCCTATATATATAAAGCAGAAAGTCTGTATGAATATTTACGTTCTAGCTGGCATACCCGGCTTCGCTCCTTTTCATGTTTTCTGCGCTGTCTTTTGCTTCTGACTAATCGCTGTTTTTTTTTGCATCTGACTAATCTATCTCATCTAATTCTGCGTGAGCTGCTCACATTGCAGGCATCATTTAACGTATTTATTGAATAGTACTTGAAAATGAGGGTATGTACTATGTGGTCGATAGAAAGTAT